AGATTTTTGTAAAGTGCTTTGTTTGCTTGTCAAATTCCCTTCTGTCCTCAAACGAATATGTTACTTGTATGCTTAATATAAAGCAGGAATTTTCGAAAATGCACAATTTGATGCTTGTAAAATAGAGATAGAATCCGTTTCATGAAATCTTTTGTTTGACCTGTTATGTTAGCTAATAGTAGTTACACTTATTTACCACTGCCAATATAGTCGGGTACACAGTGTGAGAATTGAAGTGGGATGTTAGTGACATTTAGGTGACCTAGTGATTCAATAATTTAGATATGATAGACAAGATTTTTAGCTCAGATGGATGGATGATTTTGATGTGGTTGTGTTCTCTGAGCTAGCTGGATGGTAGTTAATTTGCAACGCTTTCATTATTGCCCTACTAGGCAACATCCTCACTTCAGCGCATACACTTCAGTTTCAATTGAATTGAGCTTTTGGTTTGATAGGTTGTCTCGGGGGTATATTTCTTTTGATGAAATTCCTTGGATATCCATCCATTCTTTTGGAGGACGTCCATTAGATATCTTTTTTTAATTTTCCTTAAGGTGAGGGTGCTACTGTAACCCTAACCAAAAGCCCCCCTCCTTATATATAAAGGATATATCAGAAATCACTACAAGACTCTTCAAACCTTTAGGAATTGACGTCGTACATAAACCAACAAAGTCACTTCACTCAGTCAGCTCTATGTCAACCAAAAGACTCAACAGCGAAAGAAGATAAACCAACATCATCTGCAAAATAAGTTGTAACAACTGCGAAAAACATTACATTGGCCAAAGTGGACGTCCCCTTCGTCTTTTTTTAGAAGCCTACCTGGTATTCCAGCGAATCATCAATTAATAGACACATCGAGATAGACAAAATTTATCAACGGATAAGAAAGAAACCTCACACACGCACAAAGGGTCAAAGTTCAAATCAAAGAAACAATCAGTTCCAACACAAGTAGCCTAGAAATTGTGAAGACACACGAAAACAACCAATCACGTCCAAGGTGGTTATCAACTAGGAGAGATGATTAATAAACTCATGGAAAAATCTAAAAGTTCACTTCAATTGAAATTGAAGTATGCGCTGAAGGAAGATGTCGTCTAGTAGGGAGATGAAAGCTTCGCAAATTAACTATCCAGCTTGGAGAACACAACACATATCAAGATTCAATAATTGCATTGACTTTTGTCATCTAAGATTGCTTAATGATAACATTATTCACATTATGTGGTAATATAGACTTTCCAAAAGGTTTTTTGATAAATTATAATGAGAACCTTGTTGGTGAACTTCTGAACAAGTAAGTTAGATCGTTTAACGGACTAGTGTTAATTTTCCTAAGAAGTGAATATTTTCTTTGAGATAGGCGTTTTAAACAGCCTTTGTTTTTAGTTACAGTGATTGCTGTTCATGGTCAAGTATCAGTATTAGCAAGATATGTGGAAAACATAGTCATCATTCGTACTGTTGGGTTCTGAATGGTACATATAGGCCTTCAACAACAAATCTCCACTTTATTCTATTTTTCCCCTGTCCTCTTTACCCAATATCTCTCTCTTCTCCTCCTCCCTCCAACTCACACACGACCTCGTCCATGTCACAATAGCACCGATCACCCACTCGTCACTCGCTTCTCATTGTGATTCCACTTGAGTGATGGCTTGCATTGCACACGACAGCCTCCTCAACGCGTATATGTGGAAGACATAAATATGCGAAAAATCCTTGACATGATTAAGAGTAATAAATTGTATGTGCTCAAAATGTCATCAGTAAACTAAATGAGACTGCATCAATATGTGTTTTATCCAGGAAAATCATTTCGACAAAGAAAGGAAGACAAAATTTGCAGTATAAAATGATATCGTGATTCTATTTCACAGGTTCTCATCAGCTGAAGACTACCTGAATTTTCAGTGGTGAAATAGAATGACGATATCATTTTATACTGCAAATTTCGCCTTCTTTTCTTTATCGAAATTTATCAAGGGAACCAAATGTATAAAATCAGTTCATTACGAAGTAGCATAATCTTTACATATTCCCATTATTAATATTAGAACAAGGTATAAAAGTGAACAATATTGCTGTTGTTTTCAGTTAGATCTTCTTCAGGCTTTAGTCAAATTCACGTAGATTTATATAAAAAACAAAGTCTAACCAGTGACGGTGAGTTTGTGGATCAAATAATAATAATGTGTTAAATGTATTGAATGTCAGTAATAACGATGATTATAATAATAACAAAAGTAATAAGGATAATAATGTTTATGCAGGTGGCGATAAGAATAATGAAGGTAGTGATGTGGTGAGAGCTGGCTGCTAGCCAAAGTTGGCAGACACTAATTTACGTCAATGTTTACGTCCCCAATATTGTTCGTGAGAAATATAAGAGCAAAGACTTTGCTTAGGCGGATACAGTTAGTATAAAGATGATCTGACCTTCAGGGAACAGTCACAAAGAGATGTAAAGTTAACTTTCTGTGAGAAACAACCAATCAGAAGACTGTGTTTGTTTACTTAAATAATCTATAATAATGTACATGAAAATCTATAAATATGTATTAGTTTCCTTAATAAACGATCTGTTGACTGTCTCTTGTCTTCTGTCGTTACAGTAATATGCGTGTATGCGGAGACATTTCAATAAATAGACAAACTAGGTCAAATCTCAAAAGTTATGTGATACTAAAGATGGGTGAAGTGGACAGATAATCAGAGGTTGAATAAATATCATAAAATTACGAAGGAAATGGAAAATAAGAAAGTGTGGGAGGAGGGTATTTTTAATTAGACACTACCTAGGCAAGCAAGAGAGAGACAAAGGTAGAACAAATTTCTTTGTTATATGCAGAGACTAGGATTGTCCTCTCGAATTATTTCCAATAGTAGTTTCAGCTATGTGTAAAAGGCGGGTTCAAATTCCGTTGGAAAGGTTCGATGGGAAGACGGTGGATAACTCTGAAGGCACTCCATCGCTTTCTCTGCACTTGGTGACCTCTATCATAAATCAAATGAGACAAAATATAATTACTCATGGATTTTATTCGGATTTTCTTGAACCTTAAAGAATGGAGCTGTTGAGATGTCTGGTTGTTGTTCACCGGCTTTCTCCGCAGAAGCAGGTAAATTTGTAAATGCACATAGAAGTGGCACAGCTAGGCAGCTTGTCTACACATACACAAACACTATAACATTCGTTATTCTTATCACCACGCACATAAACCTTATTATCGGTCAGTTACAATTTGATTTTCCTCAGGTACTTAATCTCATAATATTTTGTATATATTACATACTTAGAACAGAAGTCTTTAATCATGTCAGATATTATGTGTGGTTGTTTTAAAGGTGCTTTACTAGCCTTTTGTTCTATGCAGCTGAACATATAACACTAGTCAGTGACTACCTGGTGTACAACCAAGTGTATTGATTAAAGTCATAGAGGAGGTTTAATTGCAAGCCCGAATATCTCAGTGATAACATCTCTCCTACTGCAGAGCTGGGTGACATGGGTTTCTTCAGAATTTCAGTTACTACTCGTTGTCTAGTGATAGGGCCAACAAACACGAAACCTATACCTAGCTAGGCCTAGCCTCCCAACTGCTTCCAACCGTCGAATAACAACTGTTCAGAGTGTAACGTGACGGTGAGTCAATTAACACGGTAGTCACATAATAGTCATGTACATGTAGATGGTAGAAAAAATATATATACATCATTTCATATTTTGAGAAGGCCTTCGACAGCGTTGACCGCGAAGTAATTTGGAAACTACCCTAGTACTACGGCCTACCACAAATATCCATCAACCTTAATCAACAGCTAGCTGTACGACAACAGCATATGTCAAATGATCCACCACGGAAAACTCAGCGAGGCGTTTGGAATAAACACAGGAGTAAGACAAGGGTGCTTATTATCAACAATGATATTCCTAATTGTGGTGGACTCACTGGATTATGCGTCGGACATTGGGAAACGAGAATACAGGGATATTCTGGACCGACGTGAAGAACCCAAAAAGACCTGGATTTCGCGCGTGGATGATTTATGTTTGATGTCACACAAAATCGAAGACTGACAAGCGGAAACCGACAAACTGATCGAAGAAGCAGCCGGCGAAGACAGGACAGCACTCCAGGTGAACATATACAAGACGGAGGTTACGAAAATAACCAACCAACATTAACAACAGCAGAAACATCCGGCGCCAATCACTATCAATGGGAGGGATTTAAAAGAGGTTACTTCATTCAATTTCTTATCTAGGGAGCATTGTCTCAACTACAGGAAGTCGGAACGCATGAGGATGTCAAATCGAGAGAGAATCGGTTGGGGGGGCGAGAAACACATCCACTCATCAACCTGAGACCAATCTGGAAACCAATCTTCGTCACTCAGCCAGCATCAACAACAAAAAGTCAAGTCACTTCTTCTGTATAGAACGGATGAGAAACTTGGCGGGTGGGTCACAAAGAATATTTCCACCAACAGCCCGGGTTGCAGGCGTTACCTTTATCAACAACTAACTGTCTTCGCTGGATCTATACTGAAGATCAGATGGCAGGGCCGGGCCGGGCCGGAAAGAATCACCAACAAGCACCAAACTATGGGAACAAACAAACGAAACAAGAACCAATCGCCCGACAACAGCAAATATGCAGGAGAAAGTGGAGATGGATTGGACACTCGCTCGCTGAGGAGGCCACCGCTGGATGACATCACGCGGGCGTCAGGCCATTGGTGGAATGGGACCCAAAAGGGAAGCGGCGAGTGGGGGGGACTTCAGTGCAAGGGTGACATAGAGGAGATCGTGTGAAGAGGATTTGAAAAAGTATGGACTAATGTGTATGCAGGGGAAAAGTAGAAGACAGCAGAAGACAGAAGCAAGTGGAGACGTGCAGCTGAAGCCCTATGTTCCACTAGGAACCCAAAAGAACAATGTTAATAATAATAGTGATTTCATATTTCGAAAGTACCTCACATCTTACCTTTGTTTGCAGACGATTCAGCATATCTACATGATCCCTGAGTTTTATATTTCATATAGTTTTTGAGTTTATTAACTTTTTTATTGTGCTTGGGATATGAGCTAACAGGACATTGTTTACAACCCCCGAATTCACTGACTTACTGTTCTGCTCATAAGAAGACTTGCAAGTGTCATTATTATCATGGTGTTTTACGGGTTGTACTGTTGCAGTAGTGACTGACGCTGACATTGTCGATATAGCTGATTCTGTTGATGATGACAGTGATGAGTTGTTCGAAGATTCGGTTTCTTCTATCTTTTCGGTTTGTGCTTGATTTATTCCGTTTGCCCGATTTAAATTCTTCTTATTCAAAACTGTCGGGTTTTTAGTGCAATTACAAATGTAATTACTATTAATGTTATTGTAATGATAATAATAATGAGGGTTATCTATAGTTTTCAGACGACACTGATGTCCACGGTACTTTTGTTGTTGTAATTTTTGTTGAAAATATTCAGGACTAGATTGTTTCCGAAGAAATCGATTCGGTGTCAGTGATAAATGATCCCCTATCGGAGGATAGATTATACACGATGCGCTTAGCATGATTGGCATTGATGAATTCGGCAGTGAACGATGTCGAAGACATCCGTGTAGCAGGGCACCGAAACTCGCTATACCCAAGATACATCCAGTGGTTAAACAAGCACGACAATTTAAAAAGATGCCTAATAATAATAGCAGGATAGACAGAGCTGTTGAAATAGCCAATAGAATTAAAATTACATGATGTAGAATATGCTGAAATTTTGTTGAACTGAAACATTTCTTTATTGTTGATGAATAACCGTCATCCATAGTATCATTATGACTATTGATATTATTATTATCATTATTCTGAGTATGAGTACGGCAACAATCACGGCAGCAACAACAACAACAACAATAGGATGAAAATGGAAAGGTGCTCTTAGACTGGATGTGTGAATTCTGAAGGCTTGTCGATTTCAGTGGGAATTTCTTTGGCATCATTTTTTTGATGACGTCATCATAATAATATTGATCGACATGGTCCAGCTGAACTGGTAGAGAGGAAACGAATAAATTGCCTTCATATTTTGAAAGAGCTCTCTCACTGTTTTTGTACTTTTGATATCTTTTCGCATATTTTTGAGATAGAAAGGTAGGACTGATATCTTGGAGATTATATGTGACGTCTATAAAAGAAACAGTGACAATAATAATGATAATAACAATTTCGCTTTATTCCAGAAACAGTACTTGGGGTACAGTGTGGGATTTTCAGCACATATCTACAATATTGCATCTAATTTCATCGTACATTTAAAAAGGAGTATTTCAAAAAATAGATATAAAAAACAACAACAAAAACAGCAAAAAAAAACGCAAAATAGCGAAAAAATACCAAGAAGTAGAGTGGAAAATAAACAACATAATAAATAATATCTCAGTATTGGGTAGTGGAAGCTATGATATGTTTATGCGTGGTGAACAGTAACAGCTATAATCATACAAGAAATTATTGAGATGTTCCTATGAATGTTTATAGCCAAGATGATCAGTTAATTTGATTGAACTACACTAAGCAATTCATACGAACTGTGATCAAGATTTGATCGGATAGTTGCAAAATAATTGAGCGCTGAGTGAGAAGTAGACATTTATAAAGTTATATTTGTAATATCTCAGCGAAATTGAAATGATTAATCATTTCAATTTCGCTGAGATATTACAAATATAACTTTATACACTAAGCAATCATAAGATAAACATTTCAGGTTGTTTTTTTTTATTGTCAGCACTAATGCGGTTGTTTGTAGTGGTAGTGTGAGGAATCATGTATAATACAAAAATTTTTTTTTAAGATGGTGATAGTGCCGTTCACAAACAAGATTGTCAGTTAAGTAGTGCCGAACAAAGAACAACCACGAAACTAATATTACATGATGGTTAATGACAGGACAATTTTGTAATAATCATAGTGATAATATAGTCGGACCCAGTAGATATACAAAAGAAGGAATAGAGTAAAGTACAAAAAAAGTAAGCCAACGATAATTAATTTTAAGTAGCTAAGTATGTTTAAGAAGGTTGTTCACTATAGAGTACAAAGAAGAGAGTATAAGGGGGAAATAACAAGGGCCAAAATTATGTTATTAACAACAAAGCAAGTCATAGGTTTCACGCTTAACATTGTCTCTGTCACTTAGAACACGGGCCAAATATGGTATCGTTGAGTTCCTATACTTGGTTGTACGAGCATATATTATTCTGTACTGATTTCTGGTTCTACCTGATGAGATACAAGGAGAGAGTTGGGAATAGAGGGAGTGTTGGGGATCGGAGAGTATGGTCTTAGATCATTTTTCAGATGCCTTTCCACTAATGTAGTGAAAAGCTGATTGAGTTTTACACCACTAGTCCTACTAACTACCTTCAACATCCTTCACAGGATGGTGTAGTCCTTTTTCAGTAGCCCGGGAAAGACTAATGGGGAGCAGTGAAGTAGAATAGGTAAGATACGAGAGTTGACAAATTGTGAAAGTAGAGATTGGGTGATTCCAGATAGTCTAAGTTTCTTAACGTAGTAGGCTAGATGGAACACTTTCTTAGAAATCGTTTGGATATGAGATGACCATGTAAGGTCGGAAGATAGAACTAGACCGAGGTATTCTGCATTAGACTTAGTTTCAATTTAAGTCCCCTCAATGTTACAGGATTCATGAGTACTTACTAGTGTTTGTAGATCTCGTTTATACCCATAGGAGAAGTCAATATTCTGGCATTTTGAGGGATTCAGCATGAGACCATTTAGTTTAAACCACTGACTGATGTCCGACAGGAAGCTATTTAATTTGAAACAGTCTGACTGAGACTTAACGGGAAGTGAAACAGTCAGGTAATCTGCATATTCGACGAAGTTAATTTCATCTGAAAGAGGTAAGTTATGTAAGAAGAAGGAAAAGAGAAACGGAGAGAGAACAGTACCCTGAGGAACTCCAGCTTCAGTAAGCAAAGGAGAGGAAGCTACACCATTATATACCGTGTACTGCATCCTATTAGAGAAGTAAGAGTGCATCCAGTTGATAGCCCAGGACTCAGTTTGTGTAAGGCTAAGCTTGTTTGACAAAAGCCTCTAGGTACAGAGTCGAAAGCAGATGTATAATCAAGGAACGTACAACGGATATACTTGGACATTTCGTCTACGAAGTAACATGAGTCATCTGTATATATAGATGGAGTTTTATTTTTATTAGATATTCTATCAAAAGCTACCTTCAATGGGTGTGTAGTCAACATTAGGCGGCTGGTCAGAAAGAATTAGCAACAAGAAACTCTGGGGATAAAATCAATCGAGAACCTGGTGCTCAAAATATATGATGAGAAAAGCGGAGATAGATTGTATGCTCACTGTGGAGATTATTGAATGAAATAGTTCGTGAAGAGACGACGAGTTTGGGGTGTGACTCTGAGGGTGATATGCAGGAGACTGTGTGTATTAACAACTGAAATGAGTATAAAACTTGGGCACTGCGGTAGAGTATAACTCCATTATGGATGGACCCACACAAAAAAACTTGGAGGATTTGGACTTCGCCGATGATATATATCTGATTTCCCACAAACTGGAAGATATGCAAGTCAAAAGCAACAAGCTGGCAGAAGAAGCATGAAAAATAGGAAGGAGTTCAGGTGGACATAGAGAAAACAGAGGTGATGAAGATTCCTGGCCAACACCAACAACAACAGACAACAACCAGCCAGCATGAATGGGAGGAACACAAAAGAAGCAACCTCCTTTACCTACCGAACTGGGAAGCATAGTTTCAGCTACAGGCGGACGGAACCGATGAGGATATCAAAGCAAGGATTGGGAAAGCAAGACAAGCTCTCATCATTTTGAAGTCTCTGTGGAGGTCGACAGCACTACTCAGCATCAAATATAAGATCCGGATATTCAACTCCAATGTGAAGTCAGTCAGTGCTACTCACTATACGGATCAGAGACTTGGCGCGTCATAAAGAGCCTCTCAAACAAACTACAGACATTCATCAACAGCTACTTGTCTTCGCTCAATACTACTCAAGATCAGATGGCCAGCCAGAAAAGATCAGCAACAAGGATCTCTGGCAATGAGCGAACCAACACAGCAGGAACCAATTGTACAAGAAATAAGCAAGAAGTGGAGATGGATTGGCCATACTCTGAAGAAACCGTCAAATGACATTACACGCCAGGTTCTCTCTCTTGAGTGGAACCCGAAGGGGAAGCGGCGAGTTGGTTGTCAGCGTGAGGGTGACTTGGAGGAGGTGATGTGAAGAGGAGATGAAAGCATGTGAGCAGACTTGGAGCCAGGTGAAAACTTTAGTAGAGAACCGAACGTAATGGAAACGCGCGGCTGAAGCCCTATGTTCCTCTAGGAAGTAAAGGAAATAATAATAATGGATATGATTTTATTTTGGTAAATGAAGGAAAAACGTTGTGTGAGTAACTTAATATGATTATGAGTGGCAATAGTTTGTGCTCGAAACGCCATCAATTAATATTACTGTATAACACTGTGTGATTTATCCAAATAAAATCTTATCCATAATGGAGTATTAACAACTAACCGTTTCAGGATTTCATTATGAACTGATACTAGAATACTAGTAGGGGGTACTAGACTACTGTTTCGTCAGCCGTGTTTGGGATTATTCAGCGGCAGGCACCCATTCAAATCCTTGCACACCTATACTTGAATATCAGCCTGATGCTCAATAGTGACTGGCCCTATTCAGCCAGAGTTAGAGGTGGTAACCAATGGGGTGCACAAGATCGGGGCTGCATGGACAGATACTCGTCACCAAAGACGTTGGCTAGTGTCAATCTCCCAATATTCTCAATTAGCAGAAGTTGCAGTCCATGTGATGGCCACTGGATGGGGTCCAAGAGAGTGGCTAAGTGTTCTGAGAGCTCGCTGGACTTGTAAGCGGAAGGTCCTGGGTTCTAAACCTTTCAGTGGGCATGCAATGATGAAGAGTCCCCCCAGAAAATGAGAATGAAGGAGTTATCAAGTACTCCCCAGTGGTTTTCCATTGGTTCTCTAACCGATATCAGCTCATGACGAAATCCTGTAACCAATCAAATCAAATCAAATCCCTGGAGACCAACACTTGAATAATCGAGTTGTTGTCCTCTTGAGGAGGAAAAAACGAACAGCGGATCATCCTATAGCTGCATCACCTTTAACTACTGCCAGTTTGCTGGAAACTCAGTTTTCTAACAGAGGACAGCCTCTTTTAAGATCACAGTCGTTTGCTTAATGCCTTATACGGTTAAAAGTGATCAGTTGTTACTACTTCGAAAGGCTTAATGGTGGGAAAATGTCGTGGTAAAAGCTATACTCAAAATTAAGTGACTCCGCCGATGTGAGTTTTTACATAAGTATGTCTGAGACATGTGGTGATTCAGAGTGACAACATAACACTAAGAAATTATAGATGAAAGCCATCAGTTTGCTCATCTTTCAGATAAATGTGTTAATTTAAACCTTACTACTTATTAGTAGTTTGTAAAGTGACACAAAAAACGTATGAGTTTCAGTGTTTTGGAGAATTTCACTTCTAATGATAACCTGTCCATTACTAAATTTGTGATTATCTTCAGATTGTTTCTACTTCACTAAATCTCTTGAAACTAGTTTCAGGATGTAACGAGCGAAGGGTTTATTGTGAATGTTTACTTCGATCTCCTTGAGAATCCACACTTTGCTTTACTTGCATTCTATTGCGAACTGTTGTCTCAACAACTATTTTAGAGACAGAAAAGCGTTTTTGCTACGGGTTCACTAGTCCCCCCAGTATTGGCTCATCTTTTAATGAATGCTTTCGAAAGATAATATCTTTTAAAGCAAACTCACACTTAAAATATGGCTGAGTTGCACGTTGATGATACTTTTGTTTTGCTGAAAATGAGATCTACTCAATTCATTAGTGGCGAAACTGTGCACAGTCTATCTTCCAGCATCGAGTTTACCTCGGAAACAGGCAGAATCAGACTTCGGTAAACTACCACTTCCAGACTACTTGGCTTGTTTGGAGGAGGAAATTCAGATATTTTAATATATGTATATTCATTCAGGAGGGAAATTCACTCCAACAACAAATATTGAGAATTCGAATCATCACACCCTAATCAGCGCAAGTGTATCAG